GATTTATATAATGCGGCCCAGAGATATGAGAATTGCGGCCACGTGTTCCTAAACTTGAAGTTTTAATGCCGAATTTTTTTCTATTTATTTATAATAATTTTAGTGATATATAGTCTTCCTATAACTAAATATGCAAGTAAAATCAAAAATTGGTACAATTTGCAGTAAAAAAAGTTTTTAAAATATTTTTAATATTAACCGGTTATTACCCGGTTAAGACCCTTGGTTAACCGGTTTTTAACCGGTTAAGGTTTTTTTGGATGGTTCCAATCCCTACACTGGACCACTTAAAACCAGGGTATATATGATTAAAAATACCTCTGTAATTTATATAAAAAAAATGTACTTGTACTAAAAAAACTCAGTACAGTACATTTCCCAACCCTGCTTACTAAGTATAAAAAATAATTTCATTTAACTAAAATAATAAAATTTCATTTTAAAATTAATAAATAAAAAATTTAAAAGTTATAAAAAACAAATATCATATTTTAAAATCTTATAAAAATTTAAACATATAGGTATTTGAAAAAAAAGTTTTAATTTAAAAAGTTTATTATTTAACCAGAGATATCAGAAATGAAAATAAATTATATAATTCTTAAAGTAATGCCAAATCAAATTTTCTTTTAGCTCAGCTTTATGTTCTTCACATGTTCTTTTCTGCCTTGGGTAAGATTTGCAAAATGACATTCTTTTTTTCGTAATTATAAAAGAGAATGGGAGAACCCCTTGGGTCAATTTATATCAATCCTTAGAAAGTGCATGATCTTAACCAAGATCTGGGTTAAAGACTAATCTGGAAAATTTGGCAAGTGATACATGAAATGTATAGCGCCTTCAACCAATTTTACTAGGCGATCATATATGCAGATTATTTAGCATAAAAAATAAAGTATAAGTTATACATTGCGCCTTTAGCTAAATGATATTAATCTTCAATAGTCTATAATTAATATATTTCTCAGTTATTAAATGAATGTGATTTTTGTACCATCTTTCAATCTTAATGCGGGTTGATTAAGATGGTCTATAGATGGTAATAAGTTATTTTGTTTAACATACCAAGATGAGATAAATATTTTACTTGTAATCCCTTGCTCTGAGCGCCTTTGGCTAGGACTTGATGATTGATAAGAAGTTGGTAAAATTGTTTCTTGTCTAGTAGGTGAAATATAAGCTGGCTCGAAATTTGGAGCATTTGGCATAGTATCTTTTGCTTTAGATTGTGCATAATTTTTATAGCTAGCCGTAAAATTTCCATCAATATCATATGATACCGATGCCAATTTATCCTTTTCTGAATGTGGAGTAGATTGGGATAAAAGCTCTAGCTGAAGACGATTAATTTTAGCCTCTTCTTGTAATATGTATTGTTTATATTGCCAGATCTGAAATTCCCTTGTATCAATAGATTTGAGAATTTCATTTCTTCTTGCATGTTCATTTGAAATAGTATTTCCAGAAATACATCTCTTCAAGTGGTTATCTCCATAGCGATCCTCAAAAAGACTATTTGCAGGTGTGAAAACTAAGGAGTTACATACACTGCAATATATATAATTGGTTGGACGATTATGAATCCTATCATCTACATATAGCTTTCTATACATTGTAATATATCCATTCTTAGAAAGGATTCTTGGGTTCTCTTCTAGTATTTTCCTAAATGGATCACAAATACGAGAACACCACATTTCTGGTGTTTCATGATCATGTCTTTCTGCTAAAGGCAATATTGCAACAATAATTCTTATATATTCTTCAGAGCTTCCAACACTATTGTGTGCATGAATTAACTTGGAATAGGCTTTACTATCTAAATCCATATTAGCGTTTTAGTAGATTATAACAGAATATAACGATTTTATTGATTTATAGTTTATAGCCGATTTTGACTGATTTAGAGATATTATACTCTAATAAATATCAGATTCATTTTTATAAGCAACTTTATCGATTTGTAGCCGATTTGAGAGACTACACACTACTAAACTCAAATTCATTTTTATTCGATTATAGGGATTTATATAGGGTCATATCCCTTCGGATTTTATATTTACATGCATATGCACAGCGCTTTCGGCTAAATCAGTTTGGCATAATGTACTGTATCCCTATAAAAAATTTTTCATAAAAATGATCACGTTCCTGTGTTTCTTCGGAATAAAAACTAGAAAATTGATCATTCATCGGAGTTTTTTCCGGAATTTTTTTCATAGGGTATATCGTATCACATGTATCACCTAGCTCCACTGCCAGTTCCTCGATAGTTCTAGGAGTGTTCCAGGAGCTGGCGAGTTTCCATAAATCACGAGATGATCGGCCAATCAGATCCGATCTTTCTTGATTATCATTTCATTGATCAAAATGTGCAAAAATATATGGGTTAGTACGCACTTGACATTCATATAACAAACACGGAAATTTCCACATAAATCTTACTTTTCCGACATGTTTCAGTGTTCACTACAAGGTTGCAAAGATAAATGGCAAAAAATCACCAAAATAATACAATGCATTTGTCTGACAATATTATAATACCGTGAATATTGCTAATATTTTTATTATTATACGTACAGCGCACATACATCAATATTATAAGTAATTACATTAACATAAAAGCACAATACTGTTAATTTCAAGTCAACATTTGAATTTGTGTGATTAAACTCTAACTATCGGTACACGAATTTTTTTAGGTGACGAATTCGACTTTCGACAATACAAGTGACCAGAGGATGACAATGGTTTAGATGAATTCATAGTTACAATGGTGGATCTTATCCTTTCCTACATAATAAAAATAATTAGTGATTAAACTGCAAAGCAACTTGTTTGAACTATAAAGTAAGACCCTTACCAATAAAGAATAAAATGTAGAAATTACAGTAAGTATGTTTAGGAAATTCGCGTTTTCCGTTGGCAACAAGATTTTTGATAATTGATTATAACGGTATAAACCGTCAAAAGTTAAATCCATGCTAAATATCTTGATTTCGTTTCCTATTGGATTTAAATCTAATTAGCTCGGCATTAAAACATCATAAAGTTACAATAGTGATCGATAACTTACCATGAATCAATACTCCATATGTTTCCAGACCGTCAACATAACCATAACTATTAATAATAAGGTCTAACGACCCTTTTGTGAATTCCGCCAACTTTACAATACCTTTGTTTATGGAAGTTGAATTACTCGGAGGTTTGATCTCGCCGAATAAAAATTCCATATTTACGTCATCTATCTTCGAGAGTACACGAAAATCGGGCTTCCTCCCGTGATTATTCCCATTTAGTATTCGTCTTTCTTTCGAACTTTCGGACTCTCCATTTGCCCTTTGTTCCGATTACAAAAAATATGAGCATAGGTTGATATACTGTATAGTGTATTGTAATAATTTTACATGGAACTTACCAGATCAATGAAAAATCATCTTTGCTAAAAATTTCTTCGAGAATTCTATGACATTATCGGTGTACGAAGGTATCTTCGTCCAGTTTTTTATCCTCATCGAAACTCACTGAAGACAGATATGTAAAACTGAAAAGCAACATACATACAGTAAATATCAACAACGTACAAAGATGTTCTCAATAATTAGAACTTACAAATTTTTCGTGACTTCTTGCGCACAATCGAAGATGGATTTATCCTCATCTGTTGATAATGTACTCCATTTGACCCAATTTTCATGCCATTTTATGTCCAATAACTGTTTGTCGTTTAAAAACTAATCACAAATTATAACAAATTAATAATTTTGCCGATCATTTGTTAGAATTGATGAAAAACTTACCATATTATATTCAATTATTATTAACTGCACAACAGATGGCAACATCTTTGGAACTAAGGGTCTTGGCCGAATTTTATTCCATACTTTTTCGGAACATGTTACGAATTCTGGTTTGACTTCATTACAATACATTATAGACGACAGACACCTGCAGACATATACAAAAATTAGATATTGAAACTGATTTGTTTGCGTAACAAACACTTACAGTATCCGATCTATATCTTTTGCGTACGAAAAAGTTTGATTGGTTTCTAATAGGTTTATCGATGTCAATTGAAATTCACGGAAATCAAGAGAAATGTTGTGACCATCTGCCACCCACTATAGGCAAGAAAAGATTATTACTATATCGGGAAAAGTGACTATAAATTCATGATACTTCTCGATATTTATGTCATTTTTAGAAGCATCATTTATATAAATACGGTTTATGGCATGTTGCCATGATAGAATTGTCTTAAACTATAATTAGAAATCGAATTAATTAATAAAAGGATTATATTAAGGACGTTTTATGAATAAAGATTCTTTACTTAATAATTGACAATACTGATTAATAATAACCTTATTATTGTTCCTTGATCCCTCTTCATAATTTGTGATGAAAGGATTTTCAACTTCGTCTTCATGAATCCCTGTATCCGACACGTCATGGCCGTTTGACTTTAAAGAGCAATGCAGATTAGAAACGAACTTATCACATCATATGAAAAACAAAACGAAGAAACATTACTGGAGAGGGAGTTGATGCTTCGGCGTCAAAAGAATTATCTACACTTTTATAGGATGGAGGGGGAGAACGACCGCGAAGGTTGGGGGCAGGTGTGATGATCGATGGAGCTTCTTCGGCTGGTCGTTTTTTGGAATTTTCTTTTTTTGGATCTTCTGATGCTAACTTTAATGGACAGAACAAAATTAGAAATCTTTAATCTCGAGCTATGAATCTTGTTAAAGATACTCACAGCAGAGTGATTTTCGCCTTCCAGAAAGTCTGTATTATTTAGACGTCTCATATACTTCTCTCTTACAACTTGATCCTGTTGGAAAACTGAATTTGCAACCCCCGTGGTATGTTCTTCCTGTAACATCAGAAAGGTAGTGAATATGTTTAGTGTTTCTATAAGCCGTATGCTTTGACATAACAGCATCAAATGCTTCATTCCATACCATCAAAGCAGTTCGTTCGTGTATCGTTGCAACTTTCCGTTTTTGCGATGAAATAGCACCTTCCCAAAAATCTTTAACTAACTGTGATTTCTTTTCATTCTATTAAGTAGTATGATGGCATTAGTAACAGCTAAAAGAAAACAGTACTCTTTGGGAAGTGGCATAAGACTAGAGTCAGGACAGAACCACCACGAGCCGTAGATCATCACATCCCGATCGTAATCAGGAAGTGTGGGTGGTTGAACGCAGATCGTAATCCCATCCAAAGAACTATCGTCCCTCAGACCTGTCCACTAACAACCAGAAACAAAAATCACAGACAAGACGGAACCACCACGAGCCGTAGATCATCACATTCCGACCGTAGTCAGAAAGTGCGGGTGGTTGAATGCAGATCGTAATCCCATCAAAGGACTATTCCTTCAGACCCATCCATTATCAAACCAAAAGAAGAAATTACTTAACCTGAAATGTAGCAAGCGCACTTCCAGCCAGGTTTGCTATAGTTTCGTTTACTTGTTTCCTTTTCAATATGTTCGAGAGGTTGCGAATATATCGGGCGTGTTCTTCTTTCTTGTCAAACTGGAAATCACTCTGTTGTTGGCGGTAAAAAAGGAAGCTTAACAAAGACCAGCTGTGGTCAGAAGTGAAGTATGCGGGATCGAATACTTGGACTTCTAACAAGAAAGAAAAAAATTTTGTAACCAAGACAGAAATCTAAAAACAAATGTCCGAGAAGAGATACCTTCGTGTTCGGATTTTTCAAAGATAGGTGCGATTGTCAGCATGGTTTCTCTTAGTTAACTCAGGTAATAATTCTTGTGAGAAAAAGAAAGAGATTTGATCTGATGGAATGGCGTAATCTTATCCCTGTCATTATCCACTTTAGGAAATACGACCGTATGTGTTACGCAAAAGTGGTAAATCTTACCACACCACCTCGCGTAGTACAGGTGATGATTTTGTCACATGGTCACGTGATGGTGGCGGCGCGTTGTTTATATTTATCTCAGCGACTTAGAAAATTTTTTGTGGTCTGATCTCTATTTGTCACCAGCATAAAATGTCACTCCCCTTATGCAGTGTAACCAGCACTATTAATATTCGTTGCACGTGTGGATCCTAAGCCATTTAGTGCTAGTCCCAGCATCTTTGCTCTCTCACATTAAGTTTAACGCTTAATTTTTTATTATATGGGCAAATGATAACTGATAAGCGAACACAAAATTTATTAGTACTGTATTCAAATAAAACACACACATTTAAAAAATTCGAAGTGAAATCTTTATTATATTTTTTTCATAAAATAATATATGAGAAATGGCCGGCCGGATAAGTAAAAATGAAAGTAAAAAATAATAGAGTAGCAGGATGTTTCAAGGGAGGAATAAAGCATAAATGCCTGCCGAGCCCCAACCCATATAATGGCAGTTCCTTCCCCACTACTCCACATTATTATTAAAACTAGCTACCCATGCGTTGTATCTGATTAATTGTGCTAACTTTATTACCACTAACACCATTATAAAAATTTTTCACTGTTGAAATCTTAATATTTCCTCCAAGACTACGAATATCAACTACTACCGAGAAGCACATCTCATCAAAAGTATAATTCCTCACCTTCATAAGTCGATCAAAGTGTTATTTAAAGCGAATTTTAATGTCTCCAGTAATATCAAAAATTCCAGATAAATTGGAACTTCCAGAAGAAGAGCTTGGAGACGAATTAGTTGAAGAGTCTCGCGAATTAGTTTCAGATTCATTGGTCGAATTAGCTTCAGATTCATTGGACACACTTTGTTGGTCAAAATCGGATCTTTGAACTACTGCGTAATGTTGATTTGTTTCGTTTTGGAGATTTTCGATAACAACATTAATTCTGCTAAATTCATTACGGCAGGCTTCTTCGACATTATTAACTTTCGTAGTTATGTTATTGACCATTGAAAAAATTTTCTGCGCCTCCCTAGTGAAGTCATCATCACGTGCCTTGTTTTTTTCGGCTTCCGCGGTAAGTTTACTATTAAGTTCGGTGTTAATTTTGCCGAACCCCGCATTAACTTCTTCATTAAGTTTATTATTAAGATCATTATTGATCAAAATACAAAATCATGTGATAGAGATGCCAAGTTTTGTAGATATTGAAATTTAAATAAAATATGAAGCTGAAATTTCATTATTTATCACATGGGTAATTTCTTAATGCAGTTGGGAAAATGAAATTTTGTGCTGAGAATTCCGACTTATTTTGATTTCTTCTTATTACCTTTGACCATACTCGCATCAGGAGACCTTGATACGTTGTATGGCTTAAAAAAATCTTAATTTGGAAGAAATACCATGAGTAATATATAATTTTAAATCAGGTATTTTGCATCAATCCTGGGATATCTTGTGCAATAATTCTATGAAAAACTTTATCGCGCATGATACTGTGCAATGGATGCATTATTTTACTAAAATCTACAACTTATAAATTACAATATTCAATTTTTAATATAATTTCTAAAATTCCATTTTTTCAATATTTTTGATTCCACAGCATTAAAGCAAGGAAAAAACGTGTAAAAGAAAATTTGATTACAAAAAATTAAGGTGATGCTCCATAAAAAAATACTACTTTTGTCGGTATAATATACCGGTCATAAAATCTATATTTAAGTAAAAAAGGAACATATATGAATGTTCTATTTATGAAGAATCAAACCATAATCTCACAGATCTATCATTATCAATTGATCCAGAAGCGATAATATTCTTGGTGGGGTGGCATGCGATTGTGAGAACAACATCTAGGAAGTATGATATAAAATTTAATTATTGTAAAAACATATGCAGCATAAAATGGTAATTACCGGCATGGCCTTCCAATTTCTGCACTATTTCTTTAGTTTGTAAATTCCAAATATAGACACAATTATCCTCACTTCCGCTAACGATCCATTTACCGCCCGTAACAGAAAAACTCGAGAAAACACAGTATTTATTGTTAATATGACCAGTATACGTTTTCAAACACTTTCCACTATGAAAATTCCAAAGACGTAATGTATTATCGAGTGTTGAAGCAAGAATGTATTTGCCATTAGGCGAAAACTTCACAAAGGATCTAAAAAGGGGTTTCTTTTATTAGGTATTCAATAAATCGAAATTTTGTTGTAAAGTTTCAAGCTTACTTACACAGGAGGATTATCATCATCTACTAAAGTTTTCAAACATTGACCCGTCGCAGTATCCCAAATACGACTAAAAACGAAATTTAGTTTGAATTTATAATATACCCTGGAATGGCAAACCCAATTCTTTAATAAATTGGATAACTTACATTAAACCATCATAACTACACGACACAATCATTGTTCCGTCTCTGTTGAAGTGAACAGCAGAAACGGGGTCAGAATGAGCAGGTAATGTTTTTAAACATTTACCTGTGTAATATTTAAGTTAAAAGAATATTTTTATTAAAATAAAAGATTTTGCTTTTGTTAGAAGTGCCATATCAAAGATAACTAACCATTTTTGGCATCCCAGATTCTAACACTTTCATCGAAAGATCCCGAAACTATTAAACTCGATTGGGGATTATAATTCACGCAGAAAACATAATTTGTGTGACCTTTGAGAACCTTAACTGCTTGATCCTGTGTGAAAGAAATGGAAACATTCTTATTACAATATCTGATGACACAAAATATCCAATGTAAAAAATTTTTATGATATTCACTTTATTTAAGTGCCAAATTCGTATCGTAGTATCATCAGAACCAGAGCATAAAGACATTGAATCGACAGACCAAGCAACGTCTGATATACCTAGTTTATGCCCTTCAAAGGTTTTTTCGTATTTACCATCAAGAGCGTTCCAAATTTTTATCGTTTTATCGGCAGCTATTAAAAGATTAACGTTAAGGCAACAAGATAATAAGGCACAAAGTATTATTAAAGATTGAACCTTTACACGTTCACTTTAATTTAAGTGAACCCTTCTTTTAAACTTTAGTAATGCACAATAAAAGTAGATAAGTTTTATGTTCTGTTTTAAACAAACTCACAAGCACTAGCTAGCCATTTTCCGTCAGGAGAAAATTTGACACTTGATACAGCTTTCTTATGTCCCACCATACTATATCTCAGTTTATAATTCGGTTTTTTTGAACTTGAGGGTGGAGTTAAGTCTTGCTGCGTATTGTCTAGTGGTTGTGACTGAAAATAAACGTCTCCAGTCCCATTAACAGTATTTAAATAACGTTCTCTTATTGTAGAAGATTGTCCTTGAGATTCTTGTTCATCCATTGTAATGTTGTCTATTATCATTTCTTTAGAAAGTTTATGTGTTTGTCGAATACAATTTTTTTTTTTTCAGCCCTAAAAAAAAAAAAAAATTTTTTTGAGATTAGGAATCACGTGATGAAATTTTGATCTGAATTTGGTAGTGCATAACAACCCATCATTCGATTACTTTTTAGGAAATACTGAGTATAATTTGCCAGCATGGCTGCAAGTCTGGTTTGCAAACATGTCTGCAAAAGTTGTGAAACTTACATAAGCCAAACAAAATTCAGTAATAATTAGATCTAAAACGGGTGTCTAAAAATGGTTAATGCGTATTTCATCATCCGCAAAAAAACAGTTTAATGATTTATACAAAATATGATGTTTTTTCCCGAATTTATTTCATATCTTCACAAATAAAAATAAATATTTAATATTTTTGATACTGATTTACTATGGCCCATTGACTTTTTTCCATTGTGATTGAGCACCCATAATAGAAGTAATAAAACCAGTAAGGCCAACCAACCCATCTTCGAGATGGATATATCCGAGCGCTGTAGCTGGGATAGAACAATCAAGTACATCTTGAATAAGTTGTCTGATAGCGGCTTTACGTTCTCTGTTTTTGAGAAAAAAAGTTAGTGAGTATACTTTACTAGGAATTATTATTAAAAGAAAAGTGAATAATAAAAATAATATTCCTACTTCTTAAGTGTTGCAGTATCTTTCGAACGTTCGCTAGTTTCCGCAATTTTGGCTTTGCTTATCAAAGAGCCACGTTGAGAATTAATTTGATGCAATTTATATAAACCATGAATAATTGAGAATAAAAGTCCCATAAGCCAAGCTTTATAAGCATTTTCATTTATTCTTTTTATTTGCTGGAACTTATATACTCCAGCGCTGTGAACCTATAATAAAAATAAAATTAATAAATAATAAATAAATTAATTAAGACAAATAAATAATCTAATTACCTACCCAGCTAAATGTATCCCAGAATAGATAGACAGCATAACCAAGCTGTCGACCTATAGTAACATATTTCGCGAACTCGTCTTCTACATTAAGAGCTTTTGTAGCATGCTGCAAGTGTTCCATTGATTTTCCAAGTCTCATAACTTTATTCAAATTTTAAAATTTAATAAATCTATTTGATAGTGTAATGAGCCTAAATTATGCAGTTAAAACATACGTTTTCTTGAAAGCCCTAATGCACTTTTCAAATTACTGAGCCGTTGAATTATCTCTTTATTATTATAGTCTTGGCGCTTAAGATACCAAGCCAAAAAGCGTGCAAAGTATTGAACAGCTCTATAAACCTTATCACGACCCACTGTCGTGGAGGCATACTTTAGAGATCGGTCAACAGTTGGATGAAGAACTATTTGTTGAATTGGCATGGCTGTATTAACTGTATAAAAAGAAAATTGAATTCTTTTTATTTGATTTGAAGTGGTACAGATCAACTGATGAGATGAAGATTTGTATATACTATTAGTCACTGATTATGCAAAATGATAATAAGTTTTTGTCACGTGAATTACTTGATTTAGAAATATTTAATAAATCAAGATGTATGCTCATAAGATGAACGCATTATTAACAGGTTTATCATTTAAACTCTGACTAGCTTCAAATTTTTTATATATGATTTAAAGAGTTGTATACTGCTTGTCGAAATTAATTTTCTATTTCGTCATTTGCATTTTGGTCAGTTTTAATAATAAATAATTTCGTCATTTCGTCATGTCGAAATTATCGAAATTATTTTTACCATTTCGGCAATGACTTTTTTATTTTCGACAAGCAACTTTAAATTACTGGAAGACAATGTGACAATTTATCGTACTTATAGCAGAGTGGTTTTAGTTCATAATATGCTTTATTTACGTAATACAAGATCATAAATATTTGCATAAAAAATGTCAAATTATCGTTTCAATTGAAAATTTTGTTGAGAATCTACAAGTTTTTTTTGTCCGGTTTTAAATGCAATTTCCTAAAAATAGTTTCTCGGGTTGTTAGCGGTTTTAAAAGATCAGAGCACATTTGAGTATTTTACATTGTAATTAAATAAGTCCATTTAATTTTTTACCTTTAAGTCGTTAAAATACCTAGTATTTGATGTCATCATACCCTCAAGAGCTGTGATATTAGCCTCTCTACACAATTCAATAGGTATTTTAAAGTTAAGTATAAATAAATATTCCTACTGAGCTTACAATCGGGTCTGGCAAAAAAAAAAAGGATATAATCTACGTTCTCTTTAATCGAATCATATACTTTTCCAAAAGAGTTCTTTAGACTTGCAGTTTGGACATTAGTAAAGTTATTAAGATATTTTGAAATATTTGTCAGTAATTCTTCCTTCATTTTAATCGATTTGGAGTTTTCTTCTTCTATAATCTTATTCAACATCACTTTATGCTCCTTAAGGCAACGAACCTAAAAACATAGCAACTGGTAAGAATCCTAATTAAACCAAAAGACAGTCGTAATAAATATAAATACCTCCTTATCAGTTTTTTCCTTAACAATATTTTGACAAGCAGAGATAGCTTGATTTTGAGAGTTAACATGTCCCTCTGTTTCAGTCACTAAGGAAGAAATTTGGTCATCGATTTTAGCTTGATAAACTTGCATCTTGATGTAATAATTAAATTTTCATCAGCATATACAGTATAGAATTAAATAAAAATTGTATAATAAAGCTATTTCCTAAACCTTAGTATATTGGTTTGCCAATTCATTACGCAAACTTTCAAGCATAACCTGATCTTTGCGTAATTCCTGAACTTGTACCATTAGACTTTCGTTTACTTTTCGTAACTCTTCAATCTCGTCTTTTCGACTTTGATTTTCGTCCATTAGTGCTTGATATGATTCATTTGTCATAAAACAACCATTTTTCTCTCGAGTAGCCTATAAATATATATGTAATATATATATTTTAACATAATCAATGTTTACAAAGCGTAATTTGAGATTATTTAAGCTTTAGAATCGTACTAGCAAATCCATTTTTAAACGTTCAATCTCACTAATATATTCTTTAATCAAAGCCTTCTTCGTAACACGTTGATTAGCAACAGGCTTGTTACGAATGTTCTTTGCCCGGTGAGCATAATCTAGTGTTGATATAGTCTCATCATAACTTATTTTTGCTGGGGATATCGTAGCAATGATGCACGTCTTGGTTTTTCCTCCCAGGGAATCTTGCAAAAGACGAGTCAACTTGCTTTCTCTAATTGTTATTAAAGAATGTATAAATATAAATTAATAAATTATTGTTTAAAAGGATGTTGACCATAAATTCAAGTATATACCTGAAAGGAATATGCAAGCAACGTTCATTAAGAGCGTTTATGCATCGACCTAATGTTAATAAGCTTTTGTTTATATTTCCAGCTTCTTTCGCCCTGTTGTTTTCAGCTCCTGATCGGCCAATACACTCTGATCCCGCCAAATCAACTAAATTAAGTTTTCCGACCTTAAGCAAGTCTTCTCCATCCGGCATTGTCTCTTTTATATGAACTGTGATTGAGAATACGGAGTGTGAACGACTGAGAGTAATATTATATTAGTAAAAACGAACATAACCATTGTAAAAAAATGTTAAAAATTTTAATATTAAAGTTTTAATACCTCGAATTTTTATTATAGTTTGTTTGAGAAGCATGTCGTTTAATGGAGCCTTGTTTCAAGACTCGTATTCCATCATTTGCATTCTTAACAAGTACTTCCTCATGACCAGTAAGTATGCCTTTTTTAGTTCCTTCGTCCTGAATCTTCAACTTTCTTGGATCATCGACAGATGAAAGCAGATCTTTAAGATCTTCGTTATAAAGTTCAATATAAGAGACCTTAACTGAGAAGTCTTGGGCATCTGCTTCCAAATCCCGAAAAAGACTGAAGAGAGTGCGTGGAATAATACCGGCTTCTTTACTTATTAGACCATCTATAGTGTTTAAGTCACCTTCCATTGTATACGTTTTGCCAGTTGAAGTTTGCCCGTAAGCGAACAGAGTACAATTGTAACCCGCTTTAACTTCATGTAATATAGGGATAACTATATGATCAAAAATCCTAGCTTGATCTGCATCCGGTCCGTAAACCCTGTCAAACGTGTATGCTTTATCCGCTGGCGGCTGTCTTACGTAAATTTCGCGAGGAGTAGTTTTAATAATGACTGGCGAGTTTGCAGCGATTTCGCGGTCAATACGGCCTCTATTTAATTTACCTTATTACATAACGACTTTTTTTAGAGCGTTAAAATAATAAATAAAAAAAAAACAAAATACCTGCAACGCACAACAACTTGAATATTAATTTCTTTTTCCTTTTCGCCATTTTTCATTATTGTTTCATTACTTCTTCTGCGTTTCCTTGCTCTCTCTAAACCACTTTCACTGCCGAAAGACATATCCATTTTTAATAAGCAAAGAAGCTTTGAAGAAATATATATGAAGAATTAATATTTACAAGACTTGCATTATCTTTTTTCTTAAAATAATATTACCTTAATAGCAGATAAGAGTAAACAAAAAATTTCAGTAAGCTTTTATATTTATCGCACATTTTCATGTTTTTTTGTTGTTACGTCATCGACACGTAGAGACGCGATTTTTCCATGTTCATGTGACTTGAAGTTCATTAGTATTTTCCCGTGTACTGTGTAACTATTTTCCATATAAAATTAATGCACGTAGAGGTCAAAGATTCATATTTTTTCTTTATTGTAAGAAAAATAACATGATTTTTCTTGAAATATATCCTAATATTATACAAAAAAAAGTTTAAATAATATATTAGCATTACATTATACTTTAAGTCTTTAACCTTTTAATAAAGTACTTGTTCTTATAAATTTTAACTTTTAATTTGAATAGTTATATACCAATTTTAATAATATGCAAACTACAACATTTAAAAATATGTTAACTATTAATAAAAAAAGCTAAATAAAGTATATAAAGTTATAAAAGTGTTAAAAAAAATATAGAATTATACAGTATGATATTTTTATAATAAAATATTAAGTTTTATATATATTTTTTTATCTTTTTTTTACCATATTTGTTTATTAACTATCTATCAACTATCTATTATTTATTCTGATAACTCTATATGTATAATATTAACAGCTGTATAGATAGACTATAGTATTAGTAAAAATCTGTACAAAAAATTAAAACTCTACTAAATTTTCTAATAATTCTATAAAGTTTATTTATTAATTAGCAAAATGTCATGTTAATCTATTTAGCTGCATTTGATATTAAGATTTAATATCCAAATAATAACATGTAATTAACAAGTGTTAACTAAAATTAAAATAAATTTTCCAACTTATATTACTTCTTTTTATTGAATAATACTATAAACATCTTCATACAAAAATATTACCTTCTCTAAATTTAATGGTAAATTTTATATATATATGACTTAAAGTAAGTCTTTGAACACTTTCAGCAATACTGACAGCTATTTGAACTTAATATTTAGAATTTTAATTTATCTGGCTACACTACTTTATTCCAGTTAAGTTTTTATATATTTTTGCAAAATTTAAATATTTCTTAGTATTTTTTTATTAGTAATAACTTCTTATATTTTACTCGAGCTACTAAACTATTTCTTTTTAATACCCTATGTATTATATTTATACTCACTTTAGTATTATTATTATTACACTGGTCAAAAACCAATATATCGGGTAGCAGATATGTATCAGATATGTACCCAATATGTGTAGTATTAATGCAGAAAATCGGGTACCCGATATGTTTAAGATATGTGTAAATATATATATCGTCTACATATCATTTACATATCATATACATATCGGTACCCGATATGTATATGATATATATATTTACATATATCTTACACATATCGGGTACCCGATTTTCTGCATTAATACTACACATATTGGGTACATATCTGATACATATCTGCTACCCGATATATTGGTTTTTGACCAGTGTTAATCATTAAAAATTTAAAACTGAACTGTATTAGAACATTAATTTGTTATTATACTTCTTATAATATTATATTCATTATATTCATTTAATAAATATAAACAGTCTAAACAGATTTATTTTCAACTTTACCTATTTCTTTATATTTTACAATAGTTGTATAGCTTTTATAATCAACTTTAATGGCAATTTTCTTACTATATACCTCTTTTTAAATAATATAATAACTTGAGCTTTCTGTTCAATAAATAATTAGAACTTAAAAATAATTATAAATAAAAACATTTTTTTTTAAAGAGTATATATAAAAAAAATATAAATTTTTTATAAATATTATTACATAAAATATAAAAAAATTTTAAAACATTGTTTTTTACATTTTTTACAAAGTATCAAAAAGAACACATCATAATTTTGAAGAAAAAAATAATATAAGCAATAATTGTATAATACAAAAAGAGTTTTTTATTTAATTTTAAAGATCTACAGACCTCGGCAAAAATAATAACAGTCAGTTTTTTTAATATAGCATATAAATTTTATAATAAAGCTATAAAATTTTTTTTTATTTTCAAGAAGAAGAGTCAAAAATACATATATTTTATTATTTGATAAATATTTGGTTTGCCCTCTATTTGCATCAATACATACTTCAATTTGATTTTGCGTGCTTTATTACCAATAACCTTGCTATTAATAATTATGCTATTTTCAAAATTATTTTACTTTTTTCTAAATAAATTGAAAAATAGCTTGTAATTTTTTTTTTTTTTGTATTACCATCTTTTTAATATACTGCTTCAAAAACAATCAAAAGTTCTCATTATAATCTGAGATTTGGACTTCAAAATTATTATGAAAACTCACTATTGAAAGACAAATTTTCATACCAACTTAAATACTATGAAAATTGTTATTTTATATCTCTATTATAATAATAAGCTTATCAATAGCTTAAAAAATTATTTGGTAAGTCAAAAATACACATATTTTAAAGTTTTCTTATTAAGAATTAAAATAATGTAAAAATGATCATTATTTCAATTTGGCAATATTTTTTATGATGTAGTTTTAGTATTGACATTTAAAATAAAAATATTTAGAATTTTGGTATTTTTTATAAGAGATGTATATATTGCTTACAGAAATGCAAAAAAAGTTTAATTCAATTAGAAAATTCCCAAAAATTTGTTTTAAAAAAAAGTTAATACTCTCATATATAAATTTAATTGTAATGAGAGCTATTTTGAATAATAAAAAAAAATAATGTTAATATTTGAAATTACTTTTTTTTCATTGCTTTTTAAATGAGCATTTCACTGTTTAATTTGATATAAAAAGTAATGCTTTAATTAGAATAGTTATGAAGTTATGATTAAATTAAGAAGTGGTATTCTCATTACCATTATTTTCACCAGAGATTGTATATTTATATTACTTATTTTGAAAATATTAAACTAATTAGATTATTTTAATTAGTAGATATAATAATTTTGTGATTTATAAATTTTAATACATTTTTTTTAAAAGTCACTATATATATATATATAATTTAGATTGGTATTTTAGAATTACCATTCATATTTACTAATAAATTCATCTACTTAAAAATGTAAAATATAGATATTAAATTTCAATTTGGATTAAAAAATTGGCCAGATTACAGATCAAAATACTAGTTTATTTTAATTACACAATATTTATTGAAATTATAATTAGTTATTATTTTTGTTATATTTATTTATATATTAAAATTTTAATTTTTTTATTAAAAAAAATTAAAACAGATTACTAAAAATATTATTTACTATTTAATAAGGTAGTGATATATACAGTTTATCCTTCTTATAGCAAATTTTGATATAACAAATCACATGACACTTAGCCAATAAAATATGTCAATTTTCCTTCACTATAACAAAGTAACCAATCAAATTCTTCAAAGTTCAAATTCTTCATTAACTTGCTATAATGAATTTGAGGTAGTACTGTAAGGTTTTTATTAAGGTTGCTAGGCGAAACTAGGTAGTTTAGCAAACTGTTGAAATGTTAAAATGGTTAAATTTGATGAAACTATATTAAAATATTAATAAAAAATTAGCAAAATTTGATGAAAGATGAAACTTATAGTAAATTATATTAAACATCAAAAATAATAATAAAATATTATAAAAAAAATTGGCAAAACTGAAGTTTAGACATTTAGCCAAATTTAAAACTAGTTTAGGCAGGTCCAGTGTTAATTTTTTGATAAAAAGTTACTGTGCGGATGGCGCACAATTTATTGAGTCTTACTGTGCGGCAAAGTGGTATGGCTATACTACTATAATAGGCACTGTAATACATATGCGTCCAATCATATAAGGATATTTCAAAATTTTTTGTGCGTATGCCGCATATCCTTTCTAAAAAAGGTGTGCGCAAAATTCTGATCATGTGCGTTGCGCA